GGATTCGAACCGGTTACCTTAGGTGTACGTGGTTGGCGCCTTAGCCGGTTGAGCTACAGGCACCGAGCCTAAACCTAAGATTTTGAGGTTGCTGTGAGTTCTGATGCCACAGCACTCTACTGAGGGTGACAAAGTGAAACTCTGTCTCAAAAAAAAAAAAAAAAAATTCAAATGTAACCAAGAACACATTGCTCTCCCTGGAGTGGGCAGAAGGAGGCAGTTGAAATCAGATAACCTTCTTCAGAAGGTTTGCAGAGTGGTTTACAGAGTGAATAAAAAGGTAAGTAATGAAAGCACAATGTATCTTATTTCTAGAAATTTGACAGTGAAGGCCAAGAGAGAAATCAGCCAAAAGGTAGATAGACATTTTTTTTGTATATGGGAGACACTTATAGAAATGAGTGAATTCAGGGAGAAGCAAGATGGTAGCCGAGTAACAGCTTCCTTGTAACTGGGCACAGTGAGTCTGGGGAGAGAAGACTCCAGGCATCTCTGGCTAGTGGGATCTGCCCAGAAACATCCCTTTGGGGACACAGGGAGTCAGTGAGAGATTTCTCGACCCTATGAGGAAGACAAAAGCGGTGGAGAACTGCTAAGTGTTTGTGTGTGTTCATTCAGTCTAATCCCATGGGCAGCTATAGGTACAGCAGCAGTGAGATTGCAAACTGGAAAGGCCTTACTGTGAGCTGTTTGGGTTTTTTTGGACTTGGCACTCAGTTTAACTACTTTGGGAGAACTTGGACAAGAGTGTGGAGGACTTTAAGCATTATCTCAGGCCCCAGAGTGAGCCACTGAGCCAGACTGAGCTAATAGTATTCAGCAGTGAGCCATGCAGAGCCATTGTGGGAAAACTGCCCCAGCAAGCTCCGCCCTCAGGGTTACAGATCAAGGATTGGGTGGGAGACCTTGGGTGAACAATCTAGTGACTGAGCACCCTAAAGGCGGGGACTGAGACACCTTACCTACCGCCTTAGCCCTCAGGAGCATAGAGATGGGTTGTGGCACACTTGGTAAGTGGATAGCCACTTTAGGAGTGATCCCACTAACAAGTGCTTTCCTGGGAAAGCTTCTGCTTAGCCAAGGTTAGCAGTTTAAAGTGCCTTTTAAGTGGGCTGAGGAGAGATTTAGGCTCTCCACCCTGCAGGGTTTGAGAAATCAGCAGAGGACTCCAGTCTCCATCTTGTACAGCCGTATCAGCATTGTGATTAACATCTCATACCCCTAAGGTGACCAGATTTTAACATTGGTAAAGCGGGACACCATTAATGGGGGGGCGGGGCAGGGGCGGGGCCTGACAACAATGCAAACTTTGATAAGCAGTTCTCAATAATCACTTCTCAACAATTATTTGTTATTATTACAGTTTAATATTATAAAATTAACAAAAATAATATAAAACTCATATCCTGGCAAAATAGTGACATGGCAGCTGAAAAGCGTATATTCCCTTACTGTTCTCCCACCTTTTCATGCATTCTTTCCAAAAATCAGGACTTTTTAAAAGTGCCGCAGGACACGGGACAAATTGTAAAAAATCGGGACTATCCTGCCAAAAGCGGGACGTCTGGTCACCTTACATACCCCGGAAGATCACCTGTTGCCCAGACAATATTCAGCAAGACATATATACAACTTTGTTTTCATTTTTTAATTTCAACATTTTCCCTACAGAATTTTCTTTTCTTTCTTTCTTTTCTTTCTTCATTTTTCTAG